AGCAGTTCCACCACTGCCTCGCAGTTATCATTGTTACATTTTTGTCGGTTTTATGGGTGAGCTGTAGCACCCTTGGCTTCGATGGGACAGGATATTTTCTCTCTTGCTTGCTAATGTCTATGACTGTCCATTCATGGTCTTTGTCCATTTGGGGACGCTATAAGGTTTAAGTATTTTTAACATGAAATTAATTACCGAACCAAAATTACATTAAAGTAAAAAACAAATTCCGAGAGTTTTATTGTAAGGGAATAAATTAGTCAGAAATTTAAAAAATGATGTACCAAGTGTTTATTATCATATTCTCAATAATAGTGAAAAAAATGTAACTAGCCTCAGTGTTCTGCAGCGGGGGGTGTGGTGAGATGATATACAAGTCAACATTTGAAGGAATATTATGCAACCACTAAAATAATGTTATGAAAACTGCATAGGAACATACAAAAATGTTCAGGATATTAGTGCATGTTGTTATACAACCAAGCGAGAACACGTCTTCTGTGGACAAAGTGGGTGGAAGGTCAGTCAGCAAGGACACTTGGGTTCTAAAGAGGGGACGATACATGAGCTCTACTGTGCTTTCTGCTAAGATTCTCACTGTTTTTTATAATAAATAATAATAAGGGAGGAGAAAGACCCAGACTGAACATATCGACCATCTGTGGAGAATCTGGAAAAGGCTGGAAACTCCCGCCAGGTGGGGGCTGCTCCTTGACCTGAGCCCCACTCACCACTCAGGTGGGAACCCCCAGCAGCCCTGCTCCTGGCACAGAAGAGTTCCTCTGAGGGCAGCTTACTCCCTCTGGTTCTCCTCCTCCTCCCACCCCCACGCCCTCAAAGCCTTAAAAAGCTCAGTGAGTATTGCCCTGGGTCTGGCCCACCATTTCCTGGGCCCGCTTGATGAAATGAGGCTCAGGAACAATCTCTTGTCAAACTCACAGCCCCTTAGAGTGGCTGTTGTGGGGGCCAGAGACCCATGTGCTCCTGGTGGGCCGTTTGGGGCAGCCCTCTTCCCAACTCTCATCGGCCTTCGGACTCGCTCGGATGTGCTCACCGGGGCTGGGCAAAGCAGGCAGGGCCGTGGCTCAGTGTAGACAGCCCTGTTCCCCAGGCCCTGGCCTGAGAGATGTTTGGTTTGCTTTTTTATTTTGGTGGAAGGCAGGGAGGGGGTGCAGTCTGAAGTCAGGAGACCTGGGGTTTCGTCCTGTTTCTGTCGGTTACGGGCTGTGTGACTCAGGGCCTCATTTACCACTCCCCCTTCTGTGAAATGAAGACGTAGACGAGGATTCTAGAGCATCGGGAGGGACGATGGCTTTGCTGGTCATGAGGAGCCAGGAGTCCCACAGAGGAGTCCCTTTACGTGAGGGAGGTCAGCGAGGGCAGGGCTCCGAGCCGCCACCCGCCTCACAAAATTTCATTTGAAGAATAAAACAAAACAAAACCTCAAGGTTTCTATCACTGTACAAAATAGAAACCCCCCGACTGGGAAGTGTGCCCAGGCTCTTCTAGGTGTGGGACGGCTCTCTGTGCCGGCTCCTTCAGCGGCTCCTGGCTCACTGCCTCTGGCTTCGGCCCTCTCCAGAGTGCAGTCCAGTCGGGCCCGCCCCGCTGCAGGCACCCTGTTTATTACGGGGCCACATGCCCAGCCCCCTGCCTTGCTCATCCCTGTTCTCCACCCAGCCCACGACCCCCAGCTCGTGTCTGCCCATGAAAGCCCTACCCATTCTTTAGGGCCCAACTCAAATGCACCCTTCCCCACAAGCCGCCTCTGATTCCCCCAACCCCCTAGTGACCGGGTGAACCTCCCGCTGTTTCCTGCGGGTTCTACGTATTTCCATCCAAGCCTGTCTGTCCTCTAGTGTTCTTGATAGAGATGCTCAGGAGGGGTTTTCGAGAATAAGATGCGGAAACAGTAGCACATGAGGCCTGGGTTCGAATTCCAGCCCTGCGCTTAGCCCTGTGTGACCCAGGGGCAGGTCATTTCATCTCTCTGGGCCTCAGTTTTCTCCTCTGCACAATGGGAGTGGTAGCGAGGACCCGAGCATCCCTGGCATAGCGCACTGGCTCATGCCAGAGGCAATAACATCCCTGCCCCTTCGCTTCCTCTTCTATTTCCCATGTATATATTTAAACTATTTTTAATCAAAGTAGAAATATATTCAGAAAGTTTGCACTGTTTTTTTCCCAAAGTAATACATGTGCCTAACTTCACATTCAAATAGTAGCAAAGCGTTTGTAATTAAAAGCAGCTGCCCCTGCCTCACCTCTTTCCAGCCTCTAGAATTTCCCATTGTGTATTTTAAGATTGCATATGTGTGGACTACAGAAGATCAGGGAATGTAGACAAACAAAAAGAAAACCAAGGGTCACACACTAAACCTCACTTCTTGTTTTAGAATGTCTTCTTCCAGGGCCAGCCCCCATGGCCCAGTGGTGAAGTTTGGTGCACTCAGCTTTGGCAGCCCCAGTTTGGTTCCTGAGCACAGACCTACACTACTCATCTGCCAGTGGCCATGCTGTGGCGGTGGCTCACATACAAAAAGAGGAAGATTAGCAGTGGATGTTAGCTCAGGGTGAATCTTCCTCAGCAAAAAAAAAAAAAAAAAAGTCTTCTTCCAGATAATTTAGCCAAGCCTTTTTTCCCCCCAAAAAAGGTCCTCATTGTTTCTTTTTTCTGTGCATTATGGCTCTAATCACAGTCTGCCTTTAATTAAGGGAAGGAAATTAACGTTGGTTGAGTAAAAGGCGCTCATTCCTTGCTACTCAGAGTGCGCTGCAGAGACCAGCAGCATGGGCACCCCCAGGAAGCTCGTCAGGAATGCCATGTCTCCAGCCCCACCCCAAAATCTGCATTTTGACAGGATCGTGGTGACTGGCATGCCCGTTAAAGCTGGGAAGGGTGGTGTAGACCAGAGCTACTCAAAGTTGGGGTCCACGAACTGTTCTTTGCAGTCCTGGACTGGAGACTTGAGCCAGAATGTGACCCACACTGCTTCCTTTATAGAGAGGGCTTGCTACAAAATACGGCCAGCTGAACTAAACAGTGTGATGGGTGAGGAGGGCACTTGCATTCTCACCCAAGCTCCTTACTGTGTCAGGGACCAGGGACACGCAGTTCCTGGACTTGGCGCCCGTCTGCCGACCACGCTTCGAGTAGTGCTGTTTGGGTCACAGTCGGGAAGTTGGAGGCTGGGACTGCACTGGGTTTCTCTCGCTTCAGATCCCAGCCCCTTCCACTCTGCACATATCTGACCCCCCACTGACTGTGACACACACGCACACATGTGCATGCGCACACATGCACGCGCACACACTCCCCCATCCCCCAACCCCCACCAGGAGAGCCCTGGCCCAGAGTCGGTGATTAGAAAACGTCGGTCTCTTGGTTAACTGAGGGTGCATTTCCCTGCATCTCCGTCCACACCAGGCCTCTGTTTACCTTAAAAGGATTTTCCGCCAGGGTTACTGTTCTCTTTATCAACTCCTCCTGTCAGGGCCGAACAGAGCAGGGACTTGCAGAGCATCTGGAGTCAAGCGAGGCTGAGCAAAAAAGCTTTAATGGGCTTGGAAGGAGACTAAGAACAACTGCTCAGCTCAGCTCAAGGTCCCGACACGAAAAGTGCTCTCAGAGCCCAGGGTCCATCCATAGTCCAGCGTTTACAGGCTCCAGGCCAGGCTTCTGCCTGCAGTGACAGAAGCCGGTGAATAATGCAGCTGAGCTGGGAAGCAAGGCCGCTAGGAAGGTGCAGAGTGGCAGAGGGGAGCCGGCCTTGTCTAAAATACTGTGTGGCATTTGGTCCAGCCTTAGTGTCACCTTCCCCAAGGAGCCCAGGGAATCCCGTGAATTTGGATCACAGGGTTCATTTTCACGTGGACTTTGGGAAGACTCAGAAGCTTTCATGCAGCACAACTTAGTTAAAAGAATTAGGAGTCAGAGTTTGAATCTCTAGACCGCTCTTCTCTGGCTGTGTGACCTTAGAGAAGTTACTCGACCTCTCTGAGTGTTAGTTTCCTCATCTGTAAAGCGGGACACAATAATACTACCCTCACGAAGGTGTTGTGAGGATTAGTGGCAATGTCTGAAAAGTGCCTAGAACAGCTCATTCTTTCATTCAGTCGTGTGTTCAGCCCGTCTATATGGAGCACCTTCTGGGCACCTGGCCCTGGCGTGAGTGGTCAGCTGGGGTTCATGATCCAGCAGGGAAGATAGGGATACAGCACAAATAAGCAGTGAAGGAGCTTCTCCAGATGCTGCGAAGGAAAGTGCAAGAAGCCTGCGCGGGCCGATCGAGTCTGGGGATCAGGGAGGGTTTTACTGAGCAAGTGATCCGAGTTCAGATCCCAAGGACGAGTCAGAGCATATGAGGCACAGCAGGGGAAGAACATTCCAGGGCTGCAGTGGGGACTGCCACTAATGTGGTTTTGGGTAGAGTGAAGGGGTCGGGTTTATTTTACTTTTTGAGGTAAAATTTACATACAGCAAAATGCGCAAATCGTAAGGTGCAATTTGATGAGTTTTGGCAAATGCGCGCACCAAGGTAATCAACGCCTCTATTAAGACGGGGACACCGCCATCAGACCCGGCTTGTCTTCATAACTGTCTCCTTACCATAAAAGGGAGGGCCTGAGTTTATGGGAACACTTTACACTGGTGCAGAGGGGTAGGCTTTGGGCTGGGTTCAGATCCCAACTCTGCCAGCTTCCACGCGTGTGACTTTGCCCAGGTCTCTCCGCTTCTCTGAGACTGAGTTTCCTCGTCTGTAAAATAGGGTTAATCAAACCTACCTTACAGGGTTGTGTAAGGGATCAAATCTGCCAATGGTTGTACATGTCCCACTGATGCCTGGCAAACAGTAGGCACTCTATGAGTTAGGCCTATCTCGCTTCCAGGATGGAAACAGGGTGGGGAGAAAGCCTAGTGGTTGGAGCCGGGCCTTTCCAGGGCAGCGTGCTGAGCAGCGAGCGCGCACACCCCGCTAACGCGGCTCTCTCGTCCACAGGGATGTGCCTGCAGGCCTTCGTGGAGGCTTTCTTTTACCTGGCTCAGAAGAAGTTCAAGATGCTGCCGCTCCACGAGCAGGTGGCCTCGCTGATCGACCTGTGTGAATACCACCTGTCCCTGCTGGATGAGAAGCGTCTGGTGTGTGGCCACGGTGGCACATCGGGGGGCCGGCCTGCTTGCGGTGGCACTCCCCAGGAGGCCGCCCTCTCGGCCCAGCCGGCCGAGGGCAACCCCCTGCCCTGCGTGGACAGTGCCCACAAGCTCTCCCATTCCAGACACGCTCTGTCCTGAGGCCCTTCTCTGTCCTCCCGGAAGAAGAGGCTGAAGAGGCCCCGGGCTCCTCGCCTGTGGCTCCCGCCTGAGACGCCCGCGAATTGTCTCCCCGTTCTGCTGAGCTGCGCTTGAAGGCTGATTCTTGCCCTCCTTCCTCCCGGCGCCTCTCAGTGGTCCACCTGCTTGCCGGTCCTCAGTGGACAGATGACATCCAAAATGCGACAGATGGCATCTTCTATTCTGGGCTCGCAGGAAGCCACAACAGGGGTAAAGCTGCTGCGTTAGGGGCACGGGGCACTGACAATCCCAAGACTGAGGGCTGTGGGGAAGAGAGCCTGAGGAGGCCTAGTCGCGGGTCTGCCCAGGACTCTGAGAGAATGTGGGGGAAAGCCCGGAACATCGTATTTATTTCCTACCACCCCCTCTGTGGAAATGAAGAGGAAATATCAAGTGGGCGGTGGCGCCGCTCCCTCCCGATCATGTGCTACGTGGGTGTAGTTAGCAGATTAGCCTCATTTGCTTCATGAGCTTGCCTGTTGCTGCAAGGTTCAGTTTGTTATTAATTAAGAAATAATTAACTCAGAAGTAACTAAGTAAGGCTCTTAGAGTCTCGGAGCGGGCAGGAGCCTCCAAGGTCATTTTGTCTGATTTTGTTTGACCTTGACCCCAAAGCAGGAGTCAGTCCCGTGGTCTAGGGGCCTCTGATTAGAACCCTCCCTGGGTGAGGTGCTCACCACAGGGCCAGCGCTTTCACAGCAGGCACTGCCAGAGGGCCCCCGTGTGCCCAGCACGTGCCGGGTGCCCTGGTGGGAGGAGGGGCTTCAGAGGGGAGGGAAACACGACCTGGGTGGGAATCTGAGTGAGCCGAGCAGGAGCTTGATGTCAGAAGCTCAGGTGCGGTCACGGGGCGAGGGAAAGGGGAGTCTGCACTCTGTCTCCATCTGTCTCCATCTGTGTCCCCAGGCAGCCCTGCTCTCAGAGGGGAAGGCTCTGGGGCACCCAAAGGTGGCATTTTGGAAACAGCCACAGGCAAGTCAGGGTCCAGGCCCACTGATGACAGGCAGATGGGAGACCGCCCTTGCAAAGCTCTCCGGAGCATTGCTGGATGCGGGGCTAAAACGGCCCTTTCTAGAGGGTCCCTTTTAAAGGACCCTTGGGGCCCTGAGAAGAGCTGAGCATCGCCCCAAGCGAGGAGGATAAAAGGTCTCTGAGGGCGTTAGCACGGTGCCTGGCACACAGTGGGACTCAGGAAATGCTCGCGAAGGTAGGGCAAGGGGGAGGGTCCTGGGTGGCACAAGTGTGTCCTGGATAAGCACGTCTCCTTGTCCTCTTCCTCTTTTCTTCTTCCTTTCCCATCCTTCCCTGTCTCTCCATTCAAGTCTCCATCATTCACACCAATGGGAGCGGCCGACTCCAGCTCCCACACAGAGCCCGGCACGTAGCAGGTGCTCCAAAGTGTCTGTTGAAATGACTTACTAGGATTCACCCTCCTGGCACTATTTTTAAACCCGAAGAGAACGTTGTCGATCCAAGATCCTTCCAACCGTTGGCGAGATAGTTTAGAGCAGAGCGCCCCCGTTAATCCTCGCCCGCCCCTCCTTCCCGCCAGAAGCCCACTCTCTCAATGAGGAAAGCCCGCCCCCCATGCAGTGTGGCTCCTGTCCCGCTGCCTTCCGCCTGCTCCTCAGGGCACGGGGCAGGGCCCAGGCTGATACCCTTCCCCTATCCAGAGGGGCCCAGCAGTAGCCGAGCCCTGCAGTGACCAGGCTGGGCTATTCTGTGACAGGAGACACTGTCTTTATAGAAAGAAAACAAATGTCTTTATTTTCCCCTCAAAAAGCAGGACAGGTGGCCTAAGACGGGAGGGGCAGGAGGAACCCCATGTGCATTGAGCGCCTCCTACATGAGGGCGTTTCAGAGGTGTCATCAGCTCGATGCTCCAGGCTCTAGTTTCGTAACGCCGTCCCCATTTTCAGATGAGAAAAGAAAGGCCTGAGAGGTCACGTGGTAGAGCCAGGCCTTCGTCCAGATCTGTCAGTGACTCCAGAGCCCCATCTCCTCTCTGTCCCCCCGTGAGGGTGAATTCAGCTCCAAATACAGACCGCTGGTGGGTGCCCCCTGCTCTGGGGCTGCCCGCAGTCTCCCAGGGCTCTGCTTGCTGTCACATAGGCTGGTGGCACGGGCCAGGGCAATCAATGTTCCTAAGTGGTCCGCTGTGAGACGCAGAGCTTGAAGACCCTGAACCCGCTCTTGCAGTCCCTGTGGCCAGAGCAAATGGATTTCACCGTGAAAGCCCCAAGTAAATGCTCTTGGGCACACTTGTCAGCAGCTGGGAGCAGCCAAGAGTCTTTTACACAAAGCCCGAACTTTACCCCATTTCTGGAAGTTGATTTCCAGAAAGCATTCACTTGCCAAAATGGAATGCAATTTTCAGGTCCCAAACCAACCAAGCACACTGAATTTTTTGGAAAGAAAATTATCGATAGGTTGAATTCCAGCCACATTGTTTGGGGTGACATGAAAACGTAACTCTCATGATCAGGAATGTCCCCTCCCCACCTCTTGGACGTCATCCTGCCAGGGTCACCTGTGTGTTAGGAAATCGGGGGCCGTTTTACAAGAGGCCGGTAGTGACAGGCGGGGCCCTTTTTTCTCAATGATGTGGACCAGGAAGAATCAGGCTGCTCCCTCCTCAGAGCGAAGGCTCAGTGACTTCCCCCACCTCCTCGTGCCTAGCAGAAGTCCCACTGGGTTCACCCCATCACCCCCTTTGGTAATTGGCCGCTCATTTTCGGGGTGTAAGTGAAGGGACAGCAAAAGCAGGTGTTTCCTGCCCCCTGGAGGAGAGGACCCGGAGCCGGGAGCCAGGAGCCCGGACCCAGAGATGCTGCGTATAGAGCTTGGCCTGCGGGACAAGCCCAGTCCTGGGAAGGGCTCTCAGGACCCATCCCGCTCTTCTCCCCCACTCCCTCCTTCCCTCCCTCCCCCTCCTGCTGATGTCCCCCTATGCGCAGTCCAGCCACACCGACCCTGTCCCTGTTCACTGGCCGAGTCCCTGGAGGGCCGGCACTCCAGAGTGGGTTCAATGCATGGACACGTCAGGCTCAGCCTGTTCCAGCTTGGGGTGCATCGCTGGGCCACTGCCCCCCACCCTTTTCCACTGTGCCTGCCTGCCCCTTCTGGTGTGCTGCGACAGCGCCCTTTCCCTTCCATGCTGGCCTTGACTGCTGCCTTCCTTCCTGCCTCCCCGGGGGATGTGCTTAGCTTCTCCGCTGTTACAATCAGGAGTTCTGTCCCCACGGCCTGGCCGGAACGGAACCGGCAGGAGGTGCTTGTAAGGGTTGGATTCAGTCCGGCTGTTCGCAGAGCTGGTCCCAACAGGCCCCTCCCCACGTGCGGAGGCAGAGACCCTGGAGACAGGAGCCTCCTCCGTCCCCAAAACGAGCCTTCCTGACCCCTGCTGTTTCTCCTCTGGGCCTCTGTCCACTCTCCCTCACGCAGACGTCATCATCTCTTGCCTTCACTTCATCAGCCTCCCACCTCTCAACCCCACAACCGTCCTCCACCCGCATCAGCCGGAAGGAACTCAGAGAGCCATAGAGCTGACCGCATGATCCCCTCCTTCAGTTAACCCACATCTCTTCCTAGATAAAGCTCCTTAACCCGACATTCAAGGCCCCTCGTAACCCAGTCCCATCCTTCCTCTCCACCCTGAATGCGCGCCGGCCCGTGACCCTGTGCCTCCAGGGCCCTTTGTATCTGCAGTTACCACTCGGGAAGAGAATGTGCTGGTTCCCGCCACCGTGGGAGGCACAGGGCCAGGAACTGCTCCGTGCTCTCCTGCCCCGCCGTCCCCTCTGCCTGGACGGCCTCCTCCCTCCGTCCAGTGGAAACTTATCTTTCAAGGTCCAGCTCAAATGTCCCCACTGCCATCCCCCAGACAGAATGAACCGCTCCCTCCGTATAATTGCGAGAATCTGGAAAGTTCCTTTATTATCACGCTTCCCTGTGGTATCACAGCGTTCGCTCCCACCGAGCTGCGGGTTCTTTCAGGGTCAGGCAGCTGCTGGATTCACGCTGGCCCCCGGGGCGCAGAACAGGGCCCAGCAGGTGCCAGTCAAAGTAGCAGGAATGTTCAGCAGCCCCAGGTGAGCAGCCTGAGTGACGAGACAGTTCTGCCCTCAGCCCACAGACACGGTGAAGAAGCATGGGTTTCTAAACCTTGCCAAGCGCTCGCTCAACACCTCCATATCCCCAGCTGCCTTGCTCTCTCCTGGACACAGCGGGACTCCCAGGAGCCCACAGACAATGGCTTCTGACCCTGGGCAGTCTCTCTATGGCCCTTTGTGCATGGGCTTTGTCCCCCTGGGAGCCGCCCTCCCACTCAGCCTTGGAGACTAAGGGCCTCCATCGGGCGTCCAGCCTGTCCCTTCCACTCCACCGCAGTCTGTGTTTGCGCGGGGTTGTTGGTTCAGAGTAGGGAATCCCCATGTGAATGTCCGTGGTGGGGGGAAGGTCGGACCAGGTTGGGGAGGAGCCCAGACATTTGGAATGGTGTTCCGTGCCTTTCTAGAACCAACTCCTTTTCCCACGTAAGGGTAACAACACCTGTTCGATGCTTCGCAGTTTGCAAAGCACTTTCACATCCATCCTCTCGTCTGATCCTCCCACCGCCCCAGCGAAGGGTGAGGGTTCTCATCACCTGCTTTTCACAGATGAGGAGCTGATGCCCAGGGGGCCTCGTGACTCGTTGAAGGCCTCAAGGCTGGTGAAAGGCAGAGCCGGGACTCACAGAGAGGCCCTGGCTCCAAATCCTAGGCTCCTTTCTCGGCACCGTAACTGCTCTGCACAGTGTGTCAACACTCGCAGCAGGCCAGTGGGGACAGGATTTGGGCCCCATTTCACAAACGTGGAAACCCACATCTCAGAGAGGCTGGATGATTGCTCAGCTAGTCCTGGGGTTCTGGGGGTTTAACTTGGGGCCGTCCAACCTGCTCTTCCCACGCTCGGCACCCCAGGAGGGCTCCAGCTTCCTCAGCCACACAAGGGGTGACAGGTCCTCCCTCGCCTGGTCTCTGGGAACATAAGGCGAGAAGCAGACAGCATGGTACGCGTGGAAGTGCTTTGTAAACCGAAGTGCTGCTCCAACAGCCTGTTATCTTCACACTGGCGCCGGGTTCCCTACAAAGTGTAAAGGGACGAAGGAACAAGGTTCCTCCTTGAATGTTGTAATCCATCAAGACAAATGAAGCCACAACAGCCGGCTCCTCTCCCTCCACACCTCCCCTCCACCCGAAGATGCTCGAAGACATTCACGGGGTGAAAAATGGCTTCTGCTGCTCCTCCCACACCCGGAATTTGCCTTGTGATTGGCAGAGTATTACTCCAAAATAGCTTAATTTTTTTTTTTCACTGCTTGATTAATGCTCTAAACTCCTTGGCCCTATCATGGAGAATCAGGCTGGAATGTTCAGCCTTTGAGCCCCGCCCCTGGGAGCTCAGAGATGATGACATCTCCAGTCAGGGAGCTGTTCCCAGCGGCTGAGGGAGAAAGACAGCTCCCTCAGCCAGGTAAATTCACACAGTGTGTGTTACCCTGAGATCCACCTCGCCTTGATTGATATTTTTGCCAATCTCTTATTTAGTTTGATGAATGTGAGAGAGATTTTCCCACCTGGCATGTGAATTTCTCCCTCACGAAATACATCCGAATTTTTTTCCCTTCCCGGGGACAAAGGAGCTTTGCAGAACCGTCCACATGTTCAATTACCTCCATCTCTAGTAACCAAAAGTCTTAATTTTTATATAACTAGGAAAACTACACAACACAATACTTACATGTGCATGCCGGCAAGCGTGCGCACACACACACGCACTGAGCAACATTAAGCTTTGGCATAAAATGGCAAAATTACTGGTGTTTTTCTCCTTTCTGGCAATTTGCTTTTGAGTCTTATTTAGAGAGCGGGGGAAAGAAGGCTCTTCGCAGCCCTGGGGTAACAACGTGCTCACCCAGAGGCTCGCGAGAGACATTTCCTCCGACGGGAAGACGTCGTCTAGGGCCACGGGGCTCCCCGAGGCCCCTCCCAGGCTGCAGAAGCAAGACAAGGAGCTGGGTGATGAAAGGATCCGCAGGGGCATCTTCCCTTCAGAACCTCTTGCATCAGAACGGGGAAAGCAAGCGCCGAGAGTCCCCGAGTGGTTGTGGAAAGAGCAAGGGTCCAGCTGTTGCTGTATCCGTCGCTCTCTCCGTGTGTGGCGGTGGACCAGTGACTCGACCTCTCGCCCTAGTCCTGGCCTGTGCAGTGGGATCGTGTCAGTAAACGCAAAGCCTGGCCTGGGCCCTGGCACCTGGGAAGTGTCTTAATAAATGTCTGTTGAGAAAAGGACCGGTCCCAATATGCTGGCACAGGACAGATGCCAGGGAACGCCTCTGCCCACCTGGAGTCGCTGACGCAGGAGGCTCCCCGAGGTCTGGCGGGAGGTGCCGTGGGCCCAGCCCACCTCCCTCTGCCGGGGCTCTGCCGCTAGGCTGCAGCTCCCCCCTCTTAAAAGCCTTTAAAAATTCTTTATTAAATTTTCATGGCGCATAAAGTCAAGGTTCTGTTCCTTGCCCTCAGTTGTCTTGGTAACTTCGTAAAATGCAATAATAAAATGAAGCTGAATGTTGCTAAACATAGGCTCATTGTATAAACTGCTGCAAAGTATTGACGATTTCTTCTGCTTGATAATTTTGGACGGCAAATCCACCGGGCCCGGTAATGCTTGTTCATTTTGGGTCAATTGGTGAGAAAAGGGCTCCTTTTAATTTTTTCTCCCACAATGTTTGCTTGGGAAGCTAAATATTGCCTCAAGGAAACTGGGAGATCCTGGGGGAGACGGAGGGAGGAGTTTGGAAAATCCTCCAATCCTTGATTTGCTGGGGATAGTCTCGCTTAGGGGGCAAGTGACATGTCCCTAGAATTTGGTCACCTGTCGGAGACTGTGTGGCAGGGGTGCCTGCCCTGGCAAGGAGGGTGGCCCCTTTCAGCTTCCCGGGGACAGCAGCCACTGCGCGCAGCTCCTGGCAGAGCAGGTGCTGTCACAACCTCTACCCTCACAGGGGACGCTCCAGGTGGGGCAGCTCCCTAGAGAACTGAGCCATTCAAGCTGCGCCCAAGAAGCTGCCTGGGGGCTCAGTCCCCAGGAACAGAGGGACTTTTTCCTTACACACGACTGCAATATATAAAACAGAGAGCAGCTGAGCTGCACTTGGCCACTCCTCCACATCTCACCCCTCCTGGCACCACCTCTCCCCTTGACCCTTTGGGCAGCCTCTGTCTGCTCTGAATACTTCCCAGACCCTGGACCACCCGGCAGAAAGTGAAAACTGATGGCCTTGAGTTACAAATTCAGTGGGATCCCTGCGCCCTGGAAATCACCACCAGCCAATGGCATCAGGGAGGCGTTTGTGGCACAGCCCCTCCCCAGGGAGGGGCCGCCAGGCAGGCTGCCACCCTGGGTAACTCCTTTGTTCTCTCGACCCCTCAGGTTCACCATTTTATGAAACATTCAGGTGCTACGCATTCCTCAGGCTCCTACCCTGTGCCAGTCCCTTGGTCCTAGACTCCTGTGCCTTCAGCTCATGGTTAGGCCATGCCGAGGATCTGTCCCCCACTCCCTGCTGGAGAAACCCAGGTTTGCCACCTGAGGTCCCACAGCCAGGCCAGGAGGCGGCTCCAGGTTCCTGTGAGGCTGGAACAGCCTTGGCCTCTGCCATGGGCCAGGCACGTTTTCCAGGGAGGGAGCAGGGACTCTCCGGGCCACAAGGGCCTTTCCACACAGCCGCCTCCCCCAGGAGCCGCGGCATCTCGTGGCACCCTCAGCACTCAGATCCCACCTCCACCTTTAACCCAAGCAGCTCCAGCCTCATCGCTGATATGTAATGGGCTTGTAATAAGATTGTATCCACAACGCTGCATTCCACCCTGTCAATTCTACAAATGGAACAAGGGAAGCCGAGAGAGGGGAAAGGCCTTGCCCCAAAGGCCCAGCAAGTTAGGGGTGTGAGCTCAGGCCTCCTCAGTGAGGGACTCTGAAGAGCAGAAGCCAGCGCCAGCCCAGGGAGCCTCTAGTTCAGGGGTTTAAATCTAGATTCCGCACTGCCCAAGAGTAGCTCAGCTGCTCTCTGTTTTATCTACTGTGGTTGCATGTAAAGAAAAAGCATCAAATGTCATCATCATCACTCTCAACTTCTTCCCTGTGACAAAGCTTCAGGCTTGGGAGAAGTAACTGGTCAAAATCACAACCACGGCAGCGTCTTCCCAGGCCACCTGAGCCCAGCCGTGACTCCTGCCACCGCTCCAGACACTTGGACACCTGAAAGACATGTGCATTGTGCTGGCAATGGTGCTCAGTCACTGGGCTGGTTCGCCCCAGGGCCCAGGGCAGGAGCAGGCTCTCCCAGATTGGAGCATCTTCACTCACCCACCATAGAATGGTTTTGGGGACCCTCGGAGGCCGGCACTCGGCTCATTTCTCACTTGGCTGTAATCATCAGACATTTGTGATCTGTGAAACACTCTCCCTCGACAGCTCCTCAGATGTCACTTAAACAGATCTGCTCTGAGCTGTTCTGGAGCCAGCCGCTGTGGCATCAGTGGGTCACTGGGTTCACCACTGTCTGTGCTGGAGTAAGATAGACTTCAGCAGGTCAGAAGTCTGCAGGCCTGGCCCAGAGGCCAACTTCACACAGCCACTTACGTGAAGCCTCATGCTTTAGCTTTAAAAGTCCTGTAAATATTGCCTTCAGCTCCATATTATATCCATATTTCAGTCAGAATAGACTAGGTGATGCTCAGATAACAAATAACTCCCCAAATCATAGTGACTTAGCACAACGGAGGTTTGTTTCTCGCTCGTGCAAATCTGATGGGGGTCAGGTGGCCCTCCAGGATCACTCTCCTCCCTGCAGGGTCCGGGCTGCTGCCAGCCTGCACTCTTTCCTCTCAGTGAGGGCTTCTCAGTTGCCTCTGGGAGAAAGAGAAGACGGGAGGATTGCAGGGTGGTTGTTCAGGGAGCACTGACTTCACCTCGGCCCACACGCCCTTGGCCGGAACCGGGTCACATGGCCCCAACCTGAGTGCACGGGACCCTGGGAGAGGTACCCCTCCTGTACACCCAAGTAGAAGAAAGTGAAATGGGACTCGAACACATAGTATCATTTTGTCTGAATTCGTATTTGTTTCAATATCAAAGTGTTTTTCTCCACCACCCCCCCCCCGCCATCTTCAAATAAAATTGTTCCTCCAAAAATACGACACAGCTGCACAGCACCCCCCGCCCCCCTCAATACTGTCCATTTGAGAAGCACAGCATGATGGGAGGGCCCATGGATTTCCTAAGACTCTGGAGCTGCAGGGAGATATTGGGGATATCGTGTATCCTCCCACCAAGAAATCCAGTCCTAGGCTCTGCAGCTTGGCTGCAGCTCAGCTCCAAGCTCCTTGGGTAGCTTTCCCATCACCTGGAAAACCGAGTCTAAAGCAGGTCACCGCTGAAGTTTCCCCTTGAGGAGGTGGGAGCCAGGCCTGGCTCTAAGAATGGCTGAAGATCCCAGACAGAGTGTCTGCCCTTCCCAGGCTGGAGCAGAGCACTCACTCAGTCCAGGCCCCAGAGGGCCCTCTGGCCTAGAGACAGGCAGTCTGGCCAAGCCGGCTCCACCTGCCCCTGCATATAGGCCTGCTGAGGAGGGTGGGTCCAGCACAAAGGGGTGAATCGAACAGCTTCCAAGCTCCTTCTGTAGCTGGTGGCAGTTATGTCACAATTAACATAAGGCAATGGCCCCGGGGGAATGTAAACCACAGCCTCGATTCACATTCACTGAGGGCACACGATGGCTAGACCACGCCAGGCACATCATGTGTGTTCGTTCATGTAATCTGAGAAACATGCTCAGGAAATGGATGCTCTTATTATCACCCCCTTTTACAGTTGAAGAAACTGAGGTTCAAAACTGAGATGAAGTGACTTGCCCGAAGTGGCATGGTTTATACACGTCAAAGCCGGTCTGAGACCTCGGCCTCATGGAGCTGGCACTCCAGACGGTTCTTCTTGGTGCTGCCGTGTTGGGCTCCTCCCTCAAATGGCGGGTGAGTCCTGCCAAGGGAGGCGTTCCAGAGCGCGTAGGAAGGGAGGCACTGGTGAGGCCTTGAATAGTACCGCACAGCAATGCTTCTCTGAAAAGCCTTTGCGTGTAATAAAGTCCTCGAGGAAAGCCCTCACTGGTCTCTGCTTCCTGGAGGCCACTCCAGCCCAGCCAGGTTTACAGAGCAGAGAGGCCTTGGGGACTGCCCAGCTTGGCACAAAGTGATGGGGCAGGGGACACGGAGAGGCCACATTCCGATAACTGAGGCTGCCTCCGCGTCTGGCCACAATGTGCTGGGCAGTGTGGGGAGGGGAAGGTGGTGACAAAAACCATGACCATGTGTGGAGGACCAGCTTTGTCCCAGGCACCGGAGTCACCCCAGCTGTCGTGCGGAGGCGGGTGGCATCACTCTCCTTTTACGGCTGGGGAAACTGAGGTTCAGAGAAGCCTCCCACCTTGCCTAAGGCCGCCCAGCCCCAGCCCACGAGGCCGCCACAGAGGCTCTGAGGTGGCACAGCAGGGAGAGGGAAGCAGCTGCTCACATCATTGAAGGTCAGAATGTCCCAGGGCTCATCAACCCAGGGACCCGAGGTGTGAGCAAAGTGTCACGACATCCGGATTGTCTGCCCCAAAGCCAGGGCCCCCGGCTCCACAGTCCAGAAGGAGCCTGCCCACCAGGGTCCGGAGATGACCCTCTCATTCCAATGCGCTCACTCGTGCTGCGTGTCAAGTGGCACCTGGGGAAGGGACAAGAGCCCCATGACGGCAAAGTGGCCTGTAGTCAGGGGCAAATCCACATTCATACAATTCCACATTCTTTACTTGATAAAAATATGGAAGAATATTATGCATTTTACAGATATTTCTCTAAAAAAAAAAAGCCTTCATAGAGTTTTGATTCTTATATTGTATCTAGAAAATTCACTTACATGGAGATTTATTCCCCAAGGAATAAATGAGAGTTCACTGCACGGGAAAGACACTCAACCATCTGGGCTTCTTGTTGTTATCATTTTTTTAAAAAAATATGCAATAGAGATACACACACACACACACACACAAATGCACGCACAGCATTAATGCATTTATGTGGCTAAAACGAATAAAACCAGCACAAAAAGATGTACAGTGACAAGTAATTTCCCTTCCACTCCTGTCTCGCAGTTCTCCAGTCTGTCCCTGGAGACGATGGTTTCTGTTTTTTGTGTGTCCTTTCAAAGACAGTCTGTGCCTCCACAAGGATTCTGGCCTGTGTGTGCAGACCCTCAGCTGCACTCTGCTTTTTCCACTACACCGTTTCTTGCACATTGTTGCAGGATGCGTAACATGTACGTTGGCCTCAGTTTCTTAACGGCGTCAGGTCATGCCAGCAGACGATGCGCTATAATCACTTATAATGCTTTAGTTTGCTTAACTGGTCCCCACGTGGTGCATTTGGGTTGTTTCCAGTTCTCTGTTACTACATAAAGTGCTGCAGGCACCGTTCTTGTACGCATGTCTTCTCATACACGTATGAGTGCATCCTAGAAGTCGAATTACTGGTCAGAGG